GTGAATCCTATCCTACCTCCCAGTCTTTGTGGCTGTGGGGATGATAGAATTCATTCAGATTAACTTGCATCACTGTAAAGATGCCAGTACATTTCTTTGTACTGGCCTTAGCAGGATGCATACAGGCATAGCTTTCATCCAAGAACGTTGGATTGTAAAATCTATGGTAAAAGGCCTGGGATTTCCTGGAGGCTCACTTCTTTATGATGTGAGCAGCCAACGGCCCAGAGCAACAGTAGCCCTGACATGAGGTGTAAGATACAGTATACTGCACTGCCCCACCTAACAACAGGTGATGCTGTAGCAGTGCAGCTGGATATTCAGTCAAATGGTGAATCCAGACAAATTATTGCTGCTTCTGTTTATCTGCCATTTGATTCCCAGCAGCCACCTCTATCACAGGAGTTTATGGCGATAGTCGATTATGCTAAAGCTTAGGGCTTCTCCATACTTATAGGCTGTGATGCCAACTCCCATTATGTGTGCTGGGGAAGCTCTGATATTAACCCCAGAGGCAGATCTCTGTTAGAATACTTGCTGACAGGAGATCTGCTAGTTTTTAATCAGGGCAATGTACCTACCTTCCAAACCGTTAACAGGAAGGAGGTCACTGATAAAACAGTCAGGTCTATGGACTTGGTAAACAGCATTAGTGACTGGGAAGTGTCCCCAGAGGAAACCATGTCAGATCATTGATGAATTCAGTTTAAGCTGAAGATGGGGAAACCATGCCCAGTCACTTACAGAAACCCAAAGAACACCAATTGGAATGTGTCTATTAACAATCTATCTGGGTTGATTGGTGGAAGAATTGCTAGGATCAAAACTGTGCAAGACATAGAGACAGAAGTCACAAACATGACTGATGCTGCGCAAACTGCCTACAAGTCTGTTTGTCCGGAGAAAGTCTGGAGGCCATCAAAGCAGCCAGCTTGGCGGACTCCAGAGTTGTCTGACCTCCGTAAGGCAGCAAGAAGTAAATGGCAAAGATACAGATCCCAACCAAGTAAAACCAGGTGGGAACAGTATGTACAGTCTCGCAATCACTATAAAAGTGTTCTAAGGGAGTGTAAGAGACTTTCTTGGAGAAAGTTCTGTGAAGAAGTCAAAGGGCCTAGTGCCTCTTCTAGTGCTGGGCGGTATACCGTTTTGTATCGAATACCGGTTTTTATTTTTGTTATGATATGAATTTTCTGAAAACGGACACTCCGGTTTAAATAGCGAAACATTTTGGTGCAGCCGCCAGTGAACTGTTGTTTCCCGGGGGACATTTTTACTTGCTGCACCGCTATGTGTGTTAGCATGCTAATGTTTGGAGCAGCTAGTTGCAGCCACGGGTGGCGATTCTGCTGCGTATATTGACTAACGTTTAAAAAAACATCCCGTTTTCTCCGTCGCTGAATGTAGCAAACACCTCTTCAGTGATGTGCAGTTAGATTTAATGCAGTTAGTTAATATGGAGACGTTATGCTGATGGAGACTTAACGTGGTTCTATTGTGAAAAGCCTGCGGGAAGTAGTTCGTAGTGGAGTTGGAATTGACTGGTGTGCAAGGTGAGTCGTGCTGATAAGCTTTAATAAATAACATAAAACAATAAACCCAATCACNGTCGTGCTGATAAGCTTTAATAAATAACATAAAACAATAAACCCAATCACAATCTTTTCTTAACCCTCCTCCTTCACGACTGGACCAAAATGCATGACTACYGTCTVCAAMCACCAGTYAGAGAAGAACAGACACAGAGGAGGGAAACAGCGACACAGACAGAGGTACAGTAAAAAAAAAACTCAAGCAGGGTTTGTACATTTTATTATCAACTGAGCTGTGCTGAAAAGAAAAATACCGCCAAATACTGTGAAACCCGTGTAAATGTTGAAAATATCGTGATATAAAATTTTGATTATATCGCCCAGCTCTAGCCTCTTCTAAGCTGTACAAGCTTCTTAGAAAGGATCCAGTCAACCAATTATCCTTTGTTGTTCCACCAGAACCAGAAGGATTGCTAGTCACACAAGAAAGTGTGCTTCAGCATCTTCTCCAGGCACATTTTCTGGGGGCAGAAGAGACTGCACAGCCTGACACAGTCGCCACCCTAAATCCAACTGATGACGACTGGAGCAGAGTTGCAAGTATCATTATTAAAATTAAAGTAAAATGGGCAGTTAATATGTTTGACCCATTTAAAGCTTGTGGTCCAGTTGGTATTTCCCAGCGCTTCTTCAAAGAGGACTGGATTTACTTCTGGACACAATAATTAGAATATACAGTATGTTGCTTGTCTGGCAAACAGTTATGTACCAGTTGGGTGGAGGATGACAAAAGTTGTATTTCTGCCCAAACCTGGTAAAGCAACATATAGAGAAGCAAAATCTTTCAGACCCATCAGCTTAACATCTTTCTTGCTGAAGGGAATGGAGGGGTTGATAGACAGACATAAAAGAGATGGCACCTTAGTGCTATCACCATTAAGTCCTAAACAACATGCATATCAGGCAGGTCTTTCTACAGAAACAGACTTACATGATGTTTTGAGAATAGAACGCAGTCTGGCACATGGACAATATGTGCTTGGCTGCTTTTTGGACATACAGGGGGCATTTGATAATGTTCCTGTAGAAGCTATTGAGAGAGCACTTGTCAGCAAATGTGTGGATGAGATGTCCACAAAATGGCTCATTTTCATTCTTCGGACAAGGAAAGCATCTTCAACTCTGGGGGACTGTTCGATAACTGTAAACCTCAGACAGGGCTGTCCACAGGGAGGAGTAATCTTGCCCCTGTGTTGGCTCCTGGTTTTTGACAGCTTACTAAGTGAGTTGAATAGATCTAGACTTCACACACAAGGATATGCAGATGACTTGGTCATACTTATAGAAGGCTTCTGCCTGGGTACTGTATGTAACCTAATGCAAAGGGGACTAAACATAGTATCTAGATGGTGCCGCAAGCAGGAACTTTCTGTCAACCCAAACAAGACAGAATTGGTTCTTTTCACTCAAAAGAAGTCAATGAAGTGTTACTCACCTACAAATTTGGAGGGTGTAGAACTCTCCCTGTCAGAGTCAGTTAAGTTCTTGGGTGTCTATCTAGACAGGAAGCTTAACTGGAAAAGACACGTAAATGAAAAGTGCAAGAAGGCAGCAATGTGCCTATACCAGTGCCATAGAATTGCAGGTAGTCGTTGGGGTGCTACCCCAAAGGTTATCAGATGGATCTACACGGCCATAGTCCGCCCCATGCTATGCTATGCTGCTTTAGTGTGGTGTGTTCGAGTTCAAGTTGGGGTGGCAAGAGTGATGGCAGATCTCCTGATTATTTCTACTGTTTTACAGACAGATCCCTTATAAAGGGGTCAGTAGGTGCAGGGGTGCTGATTTTGCGCAACCACAGTGAGAGAGAGAGTACAGTTACCCATAGGGCTGCCACAAACGATTATTTTTATAATCGATTAGTCATCGATTATTTTTTCGATTAATCGACTAATCGGATCATACGTTAATCGAATATAGAACATACTGCTTATCGCACGAGAATGCACCTGCTAATATTGTATATAACCATCATGAGATTTCAGATATATACTAACTAAAAATAAAGAC